AGGAAAGCAAATACTACAGCTTTCCTGAGAAATTGACCAAGATTGGGAAGTTGAATTTATGCAGAGAATGTAAACACTCTGAACAAATACACCCTTTCTTGAAGTTGACTGTGAAAAAGGCAAGAAGCTCTAAACTATAAATTTGTTATCATCTCCTCTTTCAGTTTTCATTATTACTTTTCAATATCTTTCCTTTACATTTCCAATGTTTAATGGAACATTAATGGGGCTCCCCTTGGGGTGCACCCAGAGGCTCCAGTTGGTCCAGAATGCGGCCGTGCGGGGGATTATGGGAGTGACGGGGCGCTCCCATGTGACACCTCTCCTGCGCGAGCTGCACTGGCTTCCTGGGTGTGCTTCAAGATGTTGGTGACACCTTTAAAGTGTTTCTTGGCTTAAGGCCGGGGTATCTACGAGACCGCCTTCTGCCGCCAATAGCCTCCCACCAGCCAGTTCGCTTGCACAGAGAGGGCCTCCTCAAGGTGCCGTCGGCCAGACAATGTCGGCTGGTGATCCCCAGGGGGAGAGCCTTCTCTGTGGTGGCACCTGCCCTCTGGAACAACCTACCCCCAGAAATACTCATGATACCAGACCTTCGGACTTTTCGTCGGGCCCTGAAAATACATCTATTTCATCTAGCTGGGCAGGCTTGATCCCATCCTTGCGGTTTTAATTTGTAATTGGTTTTAATTGGGTTGTTTTAAATTAAAGGCCAAAATTATTTAATGTTCTTTAAACTGCTTTTAGATTTTATATGTTGTGTTTTACTGTGGCTGTTCACTGCCCTGAGTCCTGTTGGAGAAGGGTGGTATACAAATTAAAATAATAATAATAATAATAATAATAATAATAATAATAATAATAATGATGATGATGATGATGATGATGATGATGTCATATAGCCGATGGGACAAACAATTACTTCTTTTCAGTGGCTTTCAACTGGCTACGGGACTGAGTTAGAACCAGGACATCATAAGTTCTAGTACTTCCTTGGATATGAAAGTCAGGTAGGAGTCTTTGGGCCAGTCACTCTCTTCCAGCCCCATCGACTTCATAGGGTTGCTCTTATGGAGAAAACGGGATATGGGAGAACTAGGTATGTAGGCTATGCTGAATTCCTCAAAATCAAAAGGGGATGCAAAGATATACGCTATTTCCATAGTAACAATATATAATATGTCCTTGAGTGTCATTGCCTTTTTTAGGTGCATATGTCTGGGAATTTTATTTCACAATCCAATAAACAGCCTTTCCATTTTCTGGTGGTTTCCCACCCAAACATAAAATAGACCTGATCCTACTTAGCTTGCAAAGTTGGCCAAGTGATTGCCACTGCTTAAATGAATAGCTCAAGGAAATTAAAATAACAAATGTTAAAAAGTTGGCTCTGCTCAGTTGTGAATCAGATGTTTTAGCATGTAAATATTTTAGCCATTATATTACTGCAGTGCTTCAAGAGTAATATTTGAAGAGACATTAGGGAATCAAAGCTAAGAAAATGAAAAAAATGAACTTTTAAAAAATTGTGTGTGCATATGTGTGCATTTTAATGCTTTAATTTTTTTTAATTTTTCCAAAATGTATATCCAGGTAGTCCTCCACTTACAACAATTCAATTAGTGAGCACTCAAAGTTACAATGGCATTTAAAAAAAGCGAGTTATGACAATTTTTACACTTTTGACTGTTATAGTATTGTCACATGATTTACATTAAAATGCTTGATAACTGACTCACATTTATGATGGTTGCAGTGCCCTGAATTCATATGATCCTCTTTGGTGGCTGTCTGACAAGCAAAGTCAATGTGGAAACTACATTCACTCAACAACCGGATTACTAGTTTAACAACTGTAGTGATTCACTTAATAAAAGCTGCAAGAAAAGTCATAAAATGGGGCAAAACCCACTTAACAAATGTTTCATTTAAAAACATAAATTTTGGGCTCAATTGTGGTTGTAACTTGGGGAGTACCTGTATGTTCAAAAAGATCCACCTGTATAAAATAATTGGCAATTACTTTTCTGAAATAAAGGAGAATTGTCCACTGGCAGACTGTGATTGTGGGCAATTTAGGTTAAACGGGTGATAAACTGGGCTAAATCTGGGCCAAAGCTTCCCAATTAGCTAAAGAGTATTTTTAAACTGATTTAAGGCTTTGCTGGCAAGGCCATTGAGAGAGTTCCCCTTCTTTTCCAATTTTTCCTTGTTATTTTGGTTTAAGCATGTTTATTTTCATGGCTTATTGAATCAGACTGTAAGAGACGAGCACCTCATCGGGTTGCCATGACAGCCTTTGAAAAGATAGACAAATGCTTTGATGCATTTATAACTACAAACATCAGAATAAGCAGGTCATGGGATTCCTCTGATAATCTATGGAAGTAAAATTCTGAAGCAGCCTAGAAAAGATCCTAAAGCTTTTGGACATTGGTGCTGGTGGAGGCCTCTGAACATTCCTTGAAGAGCCAAGATAACAACAAAGTCTTTTTAGGAGACCAGGGAGACTACAGAATTTCCAGTCCTAGTCAGCTCTATAACTTCCAAAAAAACAAGACATTGTGTTACTTGATGCTGCTGATAGAAAAAGATTTCAGGTTAAATAGACAAAATAGACAGATCATCATATTGCAACGTTCTGAGGTTGTGAAGAAATTACTTTGGGGAAAACCTCCCTCCATTCTAGAGATCTACAACAACTTTCTAAGTTACACTTCTTCTGCAGGTTTTGGGCCAAACTATGATCTTGGCCCTTTTACAGTAATATCTGGATTTTGACTCACTTTAATGAAACAGTATTACTTGTTTATTTTCAGCATTGAATGTCTGGTGAGAAAAATAAACTAATTAAATATGTAATGAGGAAGTGGGCCACCTTGAATACATTTCTGAGAAAGTGCTCATGTATGAAGAAAAAAAACCCCCACAGAGCTGCCAAGTCAAATATTCTATTCCAAATGGTTCCATAGACATTGGAAGCTGATAACCTCTGAGATAACATTGTAGAGCATATTTATTTATTTATTTATTTATTTGATTTGATTTCTATACCGCCCTACTCCCGAAGGACTCAGGGCGGTGCACAGCCAAACAATAAAACACATACATACAAAATTTAAAAGTAGAATAAAATCAAATTAAATAATTTTGGCCCCGACAAATTTAAAACCCCAAACTTTTAAAACCAATTTAAAATTGAATGTATAAAATACTAAAAGATATTTAAAAATTAAAAATCTTTTATAAAAGAGGGGGAAAATTAGGCCAGGCCCGCCTGGTGAAATAGTAAGGTCTTTAAAGCACGGCGGAAGGTGCGCAGATCCGGGATCCTCCGTATCTCTGGGGGGAGCTCGTTCCAGATAGTAGGTGCCCCCACAGAGAAGGCTGTCCCCCTGGGGGCTGCCAGTCGGCATTGTTTGGCTGACGGCACCCGGAGGAGCCCCTCTCTATGGGAGCATACCGGCCGGTGGGAGGCTATTGGTGGTAGTAGGTGGTCCCGCAAGTACCCAGGTCTTAAGCCATGGAGCGCTTTAAAGGTGGTAACCAAAACCTTGAAGCGCACCCGGAAGACCACAGGGAGCCAGTGCAGCTCGCGCAGGAGGGGTGTTACATGGGAACGCCATGTCACTCCCATTACCACCTGCGCGGCCGCACTCTGCGCCAGTTGGAGCCTCCGGGTGCTCCTCAAGGGGAGCCCCATGTAGGGAGCGTTGCAATAGTCCAGGCGGGGGGTGACAAGGGCATGAGTGACTGTGTGTAACGAGTCCCGATCCAGAAAGGGACGCAACTGGCGAATCAGGAGAACCTGATGAAAAATCCTCCCGGTCACGGGAGTATAATATAAAAACATGGTACTCTCCAGGGCTGTCAAATGCATTTAAAGAGAAAATGGCCTCAAACACAGCTTTCCTTTTGTTCTGCACTCTTTTTCAATTGCTCATTGCAAGGGACAGCAGGTGAAATATTCATTTAATGACCACCATGACATGTGACCAGGCTCTGTTACAGTCATATCTCAAGGACTACCTGTATAGAGCAGTGCTATTAGGATCTTGATGCTTTCTTGGCCATCAGAGAATTTCAAGGCTGTTGTAGAGCAGGAAGCAGAACTTCCATTCTGCTGGAAAGGAAGAAAAGGTTCAAGAGCAAGAACCAAGTATGCAGGGATGCTGTCCAGAATGGACGACTCTTCAAATAGGATCTCCACTAACAGCACTTGTTGATAAGAACTCTTGTTGAAGAAGAGTTCTAAAGTGCTTTTAGTGGGGATCCTACTCTTTTGACTGGAGAAATTCCAAGACAACACAGAAGCAGACCGTCAAAGCTAAATATATGGATTGAAATTGCAATTATATCAGCAGACAGTACAAATCACTTGTTATTAGCTGGGGATGTTTGTACCCCAAAACTCTCAAAATGCACCTTGAAAAAACAAATCAAATTATAAACTAATAAGACCTAAATAAGTTAGAAATTCATATGGGAAATTATGTAGTGCTGATATTTCCTTTGGGGTTAAGAGATGGATTTCATCATTTAGCAGTTCTTATTTTAACAGTTTATAGAAAGTATTTATTGTGGGGAAAAAAAGTGCTGTGGTTTTTTGAGGGAAGAACATGAAGAAACAGGTATATTCACTGCTTGAACATCTAAGAATCAGAGAATAATGTATTAGCAAGTAAGTTCTATACGGGGTGAACTTGATAATTAGTTCATTACAAAAAGGATAGGCTTATGACACAGTATGGGTTACTGTGGCATTTGAATTCAATCAGTATGGTGATTATGGATGGACAAAGTGATTCAGCACAATAAGTTAATCATTCCAGAGTGTTTTCAATGCAAATATTGTGGGGCAAAAAGCTCCTAATAAAAGCTGAGGTTGTACTTGAATGTTAACTCATTTTATCAGTTTGCTTTTTTGTCATGATATTCTATATTTTTTCTGTCTTTAATAACAATATTCCATTCATATAAAAATTGTTAATTGTTTATGCCAGGCTCTTGTGAAAAACAGAATGTCCGAACAGATCACAATAATTAAGGAAGAGGTAAGTGGAACACAGTAGTAATGCTGATAAAATAAAGCTGAGTTATTTAATTGCTAATATTTTCAGTATCAGCAATGATAATTTTTAAATAGATTACAGATAAGTTTAACTAGAACAGAAAAAAACGGACTAAGATAATGTAAAATCTATTTAAAATACCAGGTTATTGCACAATGAAACTACTAACAGGTTATTTAAAAATGTTAAAATAGTAGGTTAATAAATAAAAGATAAAATCTTACTCAAAATCAAGAAATTATAAAAGAGAGAAACTCAGAGGAAGAAAGTGAGAAGAAAAATGGTAATAATTTCCCAGCCAATGAACTGTGTGTAAAACTTCAGATGGATCCTGTTAAAATCTTTTCCTTTAAGACTTCAGTCACTATTTCCCATAGATTCATTATCTAAAACAAACCTCTCTTAATTAATTCTGAATTTTAAAAAGTTTAATAAAGTTAGACTAGAAGATTATAACGAAATCATCTTCACTGGATTATCTAATTATATCTGTTAAGTTTTTTTTCAGCTTTCTAAAAGTTTGGAACACCAAAAGTGAAAAAGTTGGTTTCTAGTGTCCCATTTTTACTATGCGCAGTCCTCAATTAATGATCACAATAGAGCCCAAAAATTCCATTACTAAGCAAGACAGTGTTAAATGAGTTTAGCTCCAGTTTACCACCAATCTTGCTCATAGTTATTAAATGAATCATTACAATTGTTAAATTAATAACATGTTTTTTAAATGAATCTGGCTTCCCCATTATTTCTCTGTGATAATTTCTTCTTCTTTTGAACTCAAATGAAACTTTTCATTAAAATCAACTGATGGTGTCATTTTATATTTTATAATTTAGAACTGAGAAATGGGGATTAAGGAGTATCTGAGACAAACAGTAGTAGAGTTTTAAGAATGCTATGTTTTGTAACCATGCAACACAAAACTCCTTTTAAAAAATGTTTGCATTGTAGAAATGCTAAATTTTTTAGTACCAACTAACTTTTAGCCCATTTTTTCTATTCCATTACCCCCTAATTCTGGATTTTTCCAGCCCTTTCAGGAAAAGGTGAGTGAACACTGGGGCAGAAACTATTTTTTAATGTCAATCTTGCTATAATAATATTCATTAGCAACAAACCCGGTAGGCAAGTACAGAATCCTGGATCAGATATTTGACCCAAATTAGAATTTAGGTTACTTTTTCAAAGCATGTTGGGATTGGGGGAAAATGACTTATCCAGTGTAGTATTTGGATGCATGATTTTCTCATTGTGTTCCAGGCTTCACAGGATATTTCCTAGAATGAAGAAATGTTGAACGCAGAGAAAACAAACCTGACTGGCATCACAGAATTTATCCTCTTGGGGTTGGGGAACCCCTCTGAGTTGCAACCTCTTCTTTTCTTGCTTTTCCTGATAATTTATCTTGTGACAATAAGTGGGAACCTCCTTATTATTGTGCTGGTTGTAGCTGACCAACATCTTCACATCCCCATGTACTTCTTCCTGGGGAATTTGTCCTGCCTGGAAACCTTCTACTCCTCAACTATCTTGCCAAAAATGTTGAGCAGTTTTTTAACTGGGGACAGAATTATTACCATGGGTGGATGCCTAGCCCAATATTATTTCTTTGGTTCTTTTGCAGCTACTGAAACTTATCTCCTTGCAGCAATGTCTTATGACCGTTATTTGGCAATATGTAAACCTTTGCTCTATGCTTCTATTATGAGTAGGAAATTATGTTTCCAGCTTATCATTGGGGCATGGATGAATGGGTTGCTAGTTAATGGCATCATGATGTTTCTGATTGGTGACTTATTTTTCTGTGCCCCCAATATCATTGATCATTATTTTTGTGACCTGATTCCTCTAGAAAAGCTCTCCTGTACTGAAACAAGCCGAATTGAACTAGCTACTTTTCTTTTGGCCTTTATTTTGACTGTCACTCCATTTGTTCTAACACTCACTTCTTATTTTTCCATTATTACCACCATCATAAAAATCAAATCCAGTACTGGGAGGCAAAAAGCTTTTTCAAGCTGTTCATCTCATCTCACAGTAGTTTGTCTTTTTTATGGCACCATTATGATTGTCTACATGTTGCCAGACACACCCACCCTGAGACATCTCAATAAAATCTTCTCTATCTTTTATACAATTCTGACTCCTTTGGCTAATCCTATCATTTACACACTACGGAATAAAGAAGTTCACAAAGCCTTTAGTCGTGTTCAGAATAAATTGACATATTTTTGGAAGTTATAACTAATAGGATCCTTTTTTCTTTAAAGAACATCTTGAGTGGAGTTGATAAATGTAGAAATGCTGTAAGAGTCACCAAAGAAAGTTTTTATAACTAAAATTAATTTTGCTATTTTTTTATAGCCATCCACACCATGTAAATTTCTTTCTATTCACCCTACAGCTTGTGAAATTTCACAGCCTATCAGTTTCTACAATTTTTTCTGTCTCCCATCTTTTTATATGGATTTTAAAACATTTGCTAATGTATGTGTACAATCTGAATAGTTTTGTGACTATACTCCAATAGTTTATGTTTAATTCCCATTTATCATGTTTTAGAAAAGTTCGTGTTATTTTTTTCTTATTGTAGGCTTTTAAAAAAGTTTTTAAAATTTAGATATAATTTACATTATAAATAATCATCATAGAACCGTGTTATGAAATAATTATCTTTTAAATAATTATTTTCTATTGTTAATGGATATGTTCTGCTATTTTGTCTTATAACACAGCTTTGATTGGCTTGTTTACTTCTATTTGTTCTGGTTGCTGGTTTACTTTTTCCTAGAAATATTGGAAATAAAGTGAATAAACCGTAATGAATTGTCCAAAAAAACAAAAAACAAAACCACAATATATCTAAGGCTGTTTGCATTAACATTAATAGGACAAATGAGAAATTATTGCCTTTGATAATCTTGGAAGATTTTGATATTGTCTAAATCATGACAAAGTAATAATATGGGGCTTCTGAGTTATTGTAAGGCAGCATGATTTGTAAAATCGAATGTTATTCATGATAAGAAATGTGCATTAACCTAGAAGCATATTTCTAGCATTCTTACCTAGAAGATTAGAGTTGTGTGTCATCACTGTATGTTTTGAAAACAAGAAGGAATTTGTTGGATATAGTTGCTTGGGATTGACTTGAAGGTGGAATCTGACTGGTCTCAAGACTCATATTCTATAAAGTATGTTTCCCAAGCTTGGCAAATCCTACTTGTGTGGAGAATTCTGGGAGTTAAAGTCCACAAAGCTTAAAGTTTTAGAAGCATTGCTATAAAGTCAATATAATTGTAGTCTCTTCTGACAATACTTTTCATTTACCAGTCCATCTACAGCCATTCACCAATTTGATTTGCTGGAGCCTCATTAGTTTCACACATGATACTCTCCAACTCTGAGAGAAGCCATCAGGGCTTACATACTATTGGCATATAAACAAAACAAAATTTAAAAACCTCTTGTTCTTTCTTGCAACAAGTACAGATTGATTAATAGTTCCCCACTCTCTATGATAATTGCATACATGGTTCAATTTTTATCATAGCCAACTCCATTCACAAATTGACAATAATTCTCATTCCTATTTAGCTTTTGTCATTTGCTTTATATTATTTAAATTTTTTAAATTGCTAAATAATTATTTGGGATGACTTATCTTACTTACAACACAAGGTAGTTTTTCAAACTTGTTTGGAAGATGTCTTTTACTGAACAATAATTACAGTTCCAAAGGTTATTAGAAAATTTGTTTCAGTGACATCTGGGAAGAATTGCAGCAATTAAAATGAATGTCTTACCTAGATTTTTATTTTTGTTCCAAATGATACCTGTGCTTAAGAAAGATGAAAATCTGAGAGAATGGCAGAAAGGTGTTAATATTTTCATTTGGGCTGGGAAAAAAACCCAGAATAAAAATGAAAATTATACAAGATACATGTGAAAGAGAGTGTCTCAAAATGCCTAACTTAAGATTGTATGATTAAATGGGCACAAAATTTTCAAGAGCCAGTAATGATGGAGACTTGGGAAAAGATTTGGATTAGAAATGTGAAATTTACACAAGCACAAAATTTAAGAGAAAATTTTTATAAAATGTTTTATAGATGGCACTTAGATCCCAAAAAATTATCATGTATGTATCCTAATGTGCAAGCTAAATGTTGGAGATGTGACTGTGATGATGCAACTTATTATCATATATGGTGGACTTGTAGAAAAATCAAAGCATTTTGGATAAAGATTTGGTGGGTGATGCAGAATATTCTTAAAAAGAGACTGAAATTTACTCCACAGTTGTTCTTACTGGGTATAACTACGGACTGTACAGTTGCAGAGACTAAATTGATTTTGAACTTGATAACAGCAGCAAGATTGTTGGTAGCACAACACTGGAAGAAGGACTTTTTGCCTACTATTGATGATTGGATATTGAAAGTAACTAATTTAGCTGAAATGGCTAAAATTTCAGCATATCTGAAGGATCACACACAAGAAAGGTATATACAGGACTGGAGAAGATGGATTGATTATATACAAAATAAGTATTAGACCAAAAAATATCAAATAGCTTATGAATGATCTCTTTTATTTGTATAAGCGCTATATAAGTGATATTAGAAGTATTATGTTTAAGAAATAGGATTTTATATATGGGGGGTTAAGATTTTTTTTTTTAGGGGGTGTTAGTTTAATGATTGGTTATGCAATTTAGTTTATTGTTAAAGGTCAATAGAAATACCTTGTGTTCTGCTCTGGGAAGTCGGGGAGGGGGAGGGGGGATTGGGAGGGAGGGTTGTGGGGAAATTGTGTTTGTTTTAAAACTTTTTCAATAAAAAAAAAATCAAGATTGGGATGAGAAAATTGAAGCCCTAACCTATTTTATGTCTGTCATGACACACTAAAAGAAAAAAGGGCTCAGGATACTCATCTTGATGGTTTTCATCCTCTTCTGGATGCCCTGGAACAAGCAGTCCATATCCAGAATCTAGTTAGTAAATAATATATATGGTTTTTTTAAATGGTTTTTTAATATATATGGTATATTTTTAAAAAAATAAATAATCTTTGTATCAATGTGACCATATGTACTCTTGGGATTTGCTGAGAAATATTGAAATGGATCAATAAATAAAATGAGCAAATTAGCAGCAAATCTCCCAAGATTAATTATTTTAAATATTTATGAAAAGCATTTAAGAAACATTTCTGTCTAATCGAAGGAGACATTCAAATTTGTCCAGCATGGAAGTTTACCAATAATTTGAAGAAATAGTAGAACTAAGTTCTAGAACATCTATTACTATGCCAGTTACTTGTAACAGGCAAGTTTCAATCCAACTTCAGTATTTTTGTATATTTTGGGAGGAGAATATCATTTCATGATATAGTTTTGCATAAAGACATTTTAAGGCTTCCTAAATTGTGCTAAACTGTAATATGGGTTTATTATGGTTCATCATGCTTTGAGAAGACAACCCTTATAGCTGGGAATCATGATTTTAGTGTGGATCCAACCACTGTGATTTATTCAACAATCTATTTTTTAAAAATTGTAGATTTTGGTAATGTCTTTCTCCAGCTCTAGCATCATCCCTCCAAAGAATTTTGGATACAGAGTAAGTATTTCCTCTTTTGCTCATTCTAAGCAACTAAAGGACAAGTTTTGTTTTTTAGGAAAGATAACCTTTTGGATACTTGCGAAGGGATATCTCTACTTCTCTGAGTCATAGTTAGCCCTGGAATATTATAAAACTGGTTAAAGAAAAACATTTGCAGAACAAGGTGATTACTGAAGGTCTAAAGGGAAACTATTTTCCTTTATGCAGGAATAGAGTCAGCAAAGAGCTTATATTTCCAAAGTTGGACTATTCCATGCAATATTGAAAACTCTTGGCTTTCACATTCTCTCATTGTAGAGGAAGCAAAGAGTGGATAGAAAGGCCATATTTACGTAAACCAACTAAGATTTTTACTATCATTCTTTTTTTTTATTGAAAAGTTTTACAGAAAAAAAGAATTTTCTTCCCCCCCATATTCCCTCCACCCTTTCCCTCCCCTCATCCCCCCCTCCCCCCCCAGACTTCCCAGAGCAAAATACAAGGTATTTCATTTAACAATCATAAACTAGATTAACCTACCTATCCTCAGACTACTAACTCCCCCCCCTGAAACCTTAACTCCACTATAGATAACATAATACTTCTAATACTTAACGTTCATTCATAAGCTATTTGATATTTTCTTGAAAATTCTTGGCTTTCACATTCTCTCATTGTAGAGGAAGCAAAGAGGAGATAGAAAGGCCATATTTACGTAAACCGACTAAGATTTTTACTATCATTCTTGATGTAAAGTGATCAAGAAGAAGTAGTGGAGACAGAAAATAAAGATCCTTCAGCTATCTAATCAACCAGCTTGCTCATGCTCCAGCATGAACCACTGATCAGCTTTTGAGGACAGAAGTACATGACATCATGTGTTCTATTTGCCGCTGGCCTATCAGGGTGACTGACCCTACCTGTCCTTTCCTGCTACACATTGAAAAGTGTGCTTTCTAACTTACGTTGGGATACATGATGCAACTTTCCCTTTGTGGTTCATTTTATTGTGGGAAACATCTCTACTCCAACTGGCTACTGCGTACTAGGATAAGAATACTTCTCTCTTTCAGTGAATCTGTTCAGTGAATAATATAGCTATTATTTCTAACAAGTCTCTTAAGAAACAATGAAATGTGGAAGTATTTTTAATCAGATGAAATTGACTAGAATATCTATAGAGTATATATATTATGTGTAGTATACTTTGAGCATTTTGAATAATATGATTTGTGGAACAAGTTGATTAAGGATTAACCAGAGGAAAATGTTTTTATGTAACAGGGCTGTGCTTCAGTTTCATTCCTTCAAAAATTTGGATTTGGCTTACTATAACCATCAGAAATCATGGTTTCAAATATAGAAAAGAGAAATGGAGAAAACAAAATTGTGTGAAAAACTGACTAGTAATACTTGTCTTTTAGTCATATATCCCTCCCAACTAAAATTATTCTCCTAGATACAATACATGAGTGGAATACTTGTGAACATTAGTTATCCACAATTCCTGAAATAAGTATTTATTACACAGATACAGAGACATACAGAGACAGAGAAAGAAGAAGAAAGTTTTCAATATTTTATTTTTAAACATGTCTTCTTAAAAATATATTCTAGATCTGATGAGACATTTCATGAATTAAGGAAATGCTAGATAAAGAAAAGGAAAACCAGACAGCTATTCAAGAATTCATTCTTCTGGGTTTGGAGACTTTTCCGGAGCTGCAGATTCTTCTTTTCTGGTTCTTCTTGGTAATTTATTTGATGACAATAACTGGAAACCTTCTCATCTTTCTGCTAGTTGTGGCAAATCAGCATCTTCATATCCCAATGTATTTTTTCTTGGCAAATTTATCATGGCTGGATGCTTGTTATAGTTCCACCATCTTGCCCAAATTGTTGGCCAATTTGTTGTCTGGTGATAGAACTATAACTCTACATGGATGCCTAGCCCAATGTCATTTATTTGGGATTTGTGCAGCCATAGAAACCTATCTTTTATCTGCAATGTCTTATGATCGCTTTGTGGCAATTTGTAGACCTTTGCTCTACAATTCTATCATGAATACAAAATTTTGTTTCCAGCTTATAGCTGGAACATGGATAAATAGTTTGATATTCAATGGCATTTTGGTAGGTCTCATGGATCCATTTCCCTTCTGTGGCTCCAATGTCATAGACCATTATTTTTGTGATTTCCTTCCACTGGAGAAATT